TAATTTAATTAATTAGCACTTTCCCTAACTGGCAACCGACCAAGACATAAAAATAGGGCGACCATACGTACAGTAATTCGCTGTATTGTACGTTCTACAGCATTTTGAAAGTCTGTCCAGCATTTGATTTTCTACAGCAAACAGCAAACTATCATACAGAGGTTCAGAAATTATTAGGTTTCCTAAAAAATTGCCTGATTCCTACTAAAAATTGTCGATTCATGTTTGTGTAATACTTTAATAGATGAGAAATTTATTTTTGGTTGGAAGGATTTGTTAGCGGAAAAATATTAATATTTTTGACTAAATACAGGGTGTATCAGGTATGAGTACAAATATTTTAACGTGAGATAATATGGCCCATTTCAAGCTAAAACTTTCCTTTGTTAGGATTTTCGGAGTTATCGCAGAATCTAAATTTAGAAAAATGTTAACAACGTGACAACATCGTATAGGTATGATCTCTGCCAGGCGCTCGATTATCGTCTCAGGGAGTAGAGATTCTCGTTTACTTTTCTGTTGACAAGGACAAAACATTCGTTCTATCGGGGAGCTCTACTCCCTGCGACGAGAATCGGGCCCCAGGATATAAATGTAAATAAAACTGGTAAATTTGAAGGTTTTTTTTTTTTTTTTTCATGGAGTTTATTTATTTCGATCTGTTTACATTTTGGTTTCTTATTGGCTTCCAAATAATGTAAATAATAACTTGCATAATTATCACTTTTCTAGTAAAAATAGAAAATGTGCCGTTTTATAAGTTGTGAATTTCACTCAATGACATTTTTGCACTAAACAATCAAGAGAAAAATTAATTCATACTTACTCAGCTACTTGCCAAATCCTCATTATGAAAATATTAATTTTTGTTAAAAGGTTGTCAAACACTCAAATCAACACGCAATTTTGCACACTCACACTCCGTATCACGCAATATTTGTAAAACTGGCACAATGTTCTTTCATCGGGTGGGTGCCGTCCTATTGAAAAATCATTCATTCTCGCGGCTAAATGGGCATTTTGCAATGATTCGGCCTAAACAAGAATCTGCATATTCGACGTTTGTAAACATTTTATTTCCAAAAAAGAATGAATTACAGATCGTTTCACCAGGGACCAGGGTTCATACTTTTGATATCGAACGCGTCATAGCTTGAGAAAAAAGGGTTGTCGTAGATTAATTCATATGACACATTGAATTTTTTCGACAAATTAAAATGAATGAGTTCTGGTTTAAAAGGCGACGAATGTTTTTGACGTCATTGCGATTTGTTTCACTCATTTTTCATTTATTGAAAAAGGAAGGCAAAAAGTATGAACCCTGTTGAAACAAAGCTTACGTGGATTTTCAATGCTTCAACTAACTGACATAATACAAATCAAGTGTGTGTGTTGTGCTATGTTGCCAGATGTTTAGATACCGATTTCGAGTGAAATGTTCTTTTTTTTTCAGTTTTTTACTATTGTTGTTGACTAACATAATCACTTAATAATTGAATGAACTAAATTTTTTTACATGTCATAATGATTAGAATTTTCTTTATCTTTCAAATATCATCAAAACTTCAAAGGTATTTTTCTTAAAAATGGTCGAATTTGGACCCCATGTAGTAAGAACATTTTTTGTTCAAAATGGGCCATATTTTGACGGACGAGTTAAAATTTTTGCTGTCAAACCTGATACACCCTGTATTGTTATCGAATACCGTTGATATGCCCGGAAAAAGTGGCGTGATACTCGCTGATTCTCGCTCTCGGCGGTTATCCTTTGGCGGGCCTGCCGGCGGCTACCCGGCCCTGTCGTACTAACCCCAAGTTATTTTTTTTTAATACGAACCGACCTTGTGTTGCACATCGTTCGGTAGCTCGTTGCTATCCCTTTACAGTCATATAGCGAAATCTTAAATCGGACGATTAGTTTTTGAGATATCGGTGTTTAAAAGTAAGCACATTGTGAAAACTAGTAATTTTGACTACCTCATAGACAAAAAAATTCTGTCATAAAAGTCTCGAATACACATCGGCACAACCAAATAATGTGTTAATCGTAATTCTATCTGCTTCTGCGCGTCTCTAAAGACGAATAAAAAACCTTTCAAAGGAGCTATCACACGCGGTATAGGTTCTCATTTAAGAAAAATTATTAGGAGGGGGTAGCCCCCAAGACAAGAGGGGTGGAGGCTAGGCAATAAACACATTTGGTTTCCCCGATGTGTATTTGAGACTTTTATGACAGAATTTTTTTGTCTATGAGGTAGTCAAAATTACTAGTTTTCACAATGTGTTTACTTTTAAACACCGATATCTCAAAAACTAATCGTACGATTTAAGATTTTTCTATACGACGGTGACGGGAGAGCAACGAGCTATCCAACGATGTGCAACACAAGGTAGGTTCGTATTTTAAAAAAATAAGTTGGGGTAGCTACCCCCTAAGGGGTGAGGCGGGGTGATTCAAAAAGTGCCTCATTTTGGTTCTCCCTCCAATCCCCCGATGCGTATTTGAGATCTTCCTGATAGTATTTTTTGTCTATGAGATATTCCCGATTGCTACTTTTCAAATTGTCACCCTGTATGTGCTGTACGCACTAGTTTGACAAGTGGCACAATTTTATGTAGAAATTTTGATTGTTTCCGTTAGGAATGGAGATGAGATCTTGATCTTAGGTCTAGTATGAATAGGATAAATCGAAAACAGTCTTCTTTTTTTATAGCAGAGCAGACGTAAAACTACCTACTACTCGCAAAATTCCCTCCATTTTCAAACACTTATGTTGTAATTTTTGCTGAAAATAAACGCTCCAAGTAGTTGTATGAGCAATAAATAACGCATTCGGTGCGAGATCTGTTGAGACTGACGTCATTAGACTGAACATAACTGAGTCTGACGGGGTAGGACCGGAATGGCTTGGTGAAAAATGAAGCTCAGAGAGAAAAAGAAAAAAGATAGTGTAGTACGCTGTGACTATTAGTTATAGCTAGGTCAAAAGTAATACATGTATTTTCTTTGACATGCAGCAACAATACTTCCATGCTATTCAAACGTCACATCTCTAGCCAGCGTTCTTATCCATTTATGTACATACAGCAGTGATACTCGTTGAGATCATCTTTAATTTGGTACCTTTTTCATATGGAAAGTGAGTATCTAAGGAAGTGCACTTAGAAGCACTTTTCGTTGCCGTCTCCGGTGGCGGCTCTTCAGGAGGAGCATAATTTGATAAAGGTTTTGTTCACCGGCGACTAGAAAACGTCGCGACTGTTCATTGTCGTCTCCAAAACCAAGCGTCTAAACAAGCTCCTTGTGATGGGCATTAAATCAAAAACTGCGTCGGGCAGCAGCAGGCCTACTACCTTAGAAGCCGCACAGAAATCAGATCACACCTCTAATCCTAAGGAAACTGATCAGAGGATCGGTGATTGGCGTAGAAGAGCAAAAGAAAGTAATATAAAAGTGGAATTAAAAAAAAAATAGGAATTAAAAATATTGTCGCCTTTATTCTCTTTGTTGTTCGATCGACCCTGGGGTATCAGCGGCTCTGCAACAAATAGAAATCGCTATTACCCCCGCTATCACACTTGCTGTGTTCTTCTCTCTCATTAAAATTATTAGAGAGGGAACGCGAATAAAGATAGAGATATTGATCAGTATTCGTCCAAGCAGAAGCACTCCCGGCCCAGGTAACTATAACTTTTAAAGTAGATTACCTATCTATCACAGAATATCAAAGCCCTGATTTGAAAATAAGAACTACGTTTGCGAAATCATAGTCTACTCCATTATCAGGTATTTTTATATTTTCTTTCTATCCTGTTTTTAGCCTATGGAGATTTGTTTTTTTTTTTTTTTTTTAATTTCAGTATTTATCAGTAATTTAGTTCTCGTTTGCATATTTTTGCTTCTCCTGGCATTGATATGAGAAAAAAATAAATAACAGCTTTCGGGTAGAGCGAGTTTGAAGCCCCGCTTACCGCAAACAACGACGGAAATACAAGAGGACCTACGACCTCTGCCTTATCTAAACAGAAAACTTCACAGGGACCCATTACTGAAAGGCAGAGGAATACACGCCTAGGAATAGACATTGATTTATTGATGAGGATGTACAAAAGTGCCGTCACGGGCCTGGGAGGAGGTGGAGGTTTAGCCTGCTACTGTATACCTTCAGAGAAAAGCCCAGGGCATACTTCTGCGCAAAAGGCAGGAAGGTGATACCGATGCCGGAAACATTCACCCAGAATCTGGTTGCGGTGAAGATCTTCACAGATGTTGAAGGTCACAAGAGTAATGTCGTCGTACGCTCTGCTTAGTTACCACTCGACACGAATAGCCCCTCATGGAAAATCGTCGCGCTTGTGGAGGAGTGCAGATTTTTGAGACTCCCGATAGTCATCGGCTGCAACTTGAACTAGCACAACACGGTGCATCTTCTCGAGAACCTTTAGTCGAACGATCTGGGTATTGTATGTAGGTAACCACCTTTCTCACAACAGTGCGACAGTTAGTTATATATTTAACTTTATGCAGCAAACGACTTCGCTAAGAAACTGCTTTGAAATACTCCCTGTTAGACTACATATACATCATACCCTGCAGTCTGTTTGATTCGATGCCAGGGACATTGCCACGGCTGTTAACTGCCTCAGCGGAGCCATTATTGACTCATTTAAAGCCATTATCCCAAAGAAGGAGGGGGTAGATTCAGTAATGGGTCCGGAACCTATAGTACGCCTGCCATACTGGACAGCAGTGACACTTATGAAAAAGGCGACTTTTTGCAAAGACGAGGAACTCTGGAGAGGCTGCAGCGGAATGAGCCAAGCAAGATAAATAAGGCTATCCAAAAGCTTCAGAAATATTACATCAGGCTACTAACAGGGCTTTTTACGTCCATGTCTTCTCAACAGGCATTAAAACCTTATGGGATCGTAGATGACACCGAGTGGAAAAGAAAAATCATAAAAAGCTACAAAAAATAAACAAATTTTGAATCGGGATCGGAAAAGCGCCACGGCACCCATCTTGTCGCAACCATTAAAAACCAAAATCTACGGGTAGCCGAGAAAAGTCTCTTATTAATAGATTTTCTCAAACACCTTATAAGTTCAATTAAATCAAAAAATTCTTTACTTCCAGCAGCATTCGTTTCTTGTAACGTAACAAAGTTTTTTTACAAAAATAACTTTTCACATAAATAATAATACATAAACATAGAAATATGTTTTGCGCCAAAATGTTTATTATCAAGTTTTATCTTATTAATAACTAATTGCTGGCTTCGCTGAAACACTTTAGCTGTCTACATTGCACGCCAATTTCAGTACACTTGCATTCCAGACAAGGTCCAGATAATTCAAAAATTATTTTCTCTACTCTATACATTCTTCCATATATATTACATCCTGCCAGCTTTAAAAGTCCTATCCCTATTGAATTCTTAACTATATTGGTGGTTACGTTTTCTGTAGAAGTTTTATTATTTGCATCCAATTGATTTTTAGAATGTTTACCTATTTTATTTTTAATTGTTTCTACTGGTGAAATTGTATTTGATATGTTTTCTTTTTCTTCTACTTTATTTAAATTCTGATTTTTCACTAATTCGATTTTAACGTAGCTGCCCGATGTATTATTTTGATGTGTGGCATTTTGTTTTGGTTCTGAGATACGAGTCGGTTTAAGCGTAGTGGAATAATTTTGATGTTCATTCAATTTGTTTAAATCATATTGCTTTGGGGTAGTAAATTCATTTCTGAGCGTTGACTCAGTTTGGCTTATTGGTTTCTCGATGTCATTCGGCCTTCCTGAAAATATAAACTGTAGAACACTGTCCAAACTGAATATATTGTTATCAGCTCTTGTGGTATTTAGATTATCTGTACTGCTGGTAGTCGTCGGTGACGAAGCTGAAAATGAAATAAAATTATTTGATTTGTAGTTTTAATATAAATGTCATATTTGTGCAAGAATGTTAACTTTAACTTTATTGGCCAGCTGGAAAAAACTACTCTAAGGACAGATATTCCCACCGGCAATAAATTACACCAGACATCGTGATTTTTAATATCTCTCCAATATTGAACTATTTCTCAACAATTTCAATCAAATGTAGGGTGATCAGATTTGGATACAAACACTTTAAAGCGAACGGTTGAATCGAATATCAGAATCAAGGCGTATTTTTTCACGGAAAACGCACATTGCAGGTACAGCATCATCCATAAGAAGAACCGTTTAAGCCTGTATATCATATCTATAGCATTTTTATCAATTCCATCGTATGGAGAAACCTGCCTTCAAACACCCAGAGCTGGCAATTTTTGCGCAGAACAATTCGATTGCACTTGGAAAGCATGTTGTTTATTCAAGTGCAATGAAAATATTGAAAAACTACTATCTCTATTTTTGACACTCGTGATTTACTTGTTGTTTATACAACTGCATCCACAGTAATGCTGGCTCTGGAAAGCATCAAAATCCATGTTAAATGAATCTTCAGTGACATTAAGAATTGAGCAGTGTGTAAATTCGTTTAGATGGAGTGTTCATCTTCAGACTGTCGTGTACATTCTCATCGGACCCTCCCACATCCAGAACATTTTCTTGGTGGAAGACCTCATTACTGCCTACCTGTAACAGCTTTTGGAATAACTAGAAAATCGACTTGAAAAATATGCGCATCTATATAGTTTAGTGCAATGCAATATTATTGGAGAAGCTGGATCGGAGACTTCGGGCTTACGGGTAAAAAAAAGATAAAAGATGAATTTTCCGTCTCAATCAAAATAGGCAGATATAAAGGAGATTAATATATTGGTTTTCAAATGGAAACTGGCTGGAGTTGTCGAACTCCATTTTGAAGACGATAATGTTACTCGCTTTATTTGTATCCAGTTTGACGATGGACCAATTCGTAAGCGCGCCGTGTGCCGATTGTGCTTACTAGAAAAAAATAGTTATTTCAAGGCGCGCGGCATGTTAGCGCTGCTTGCATCCAAACGCTCAATGTAAATAGAACAGAAGCGCTACCGCTGACTTTTAAGTTATCGGACCACTACCATAGTAATTGAATACCCTGTAAGGTGCAAGCTAAAACTTTGATTCGGTACTTTCTATTATCAATGCTCAAGTAATGCAGTACTGTTTTGAAAACTACATATTTCTCAAATAGTAATAAAAATTAGACAACATGCAGTCACTTCGTATTTCTGCTCCATACTTTTAGTGAGAATGTAGTCAAAACCTAAAGTGCGCATGTCAACTTAAGCTCGGTACCTTCTTTTACTCATTCTCAAGAATGTATGACACACATTTGATTTTCCATAATACATATTACAGTTCAAAAAATATTCTAGCTTTTTTTAATGCTCTACCAACTACATAACTTCTTTCGCATTCGGTGTATATTATACAAAATTAATAAGGTTTCTGCGAGGTGCAAAAATCAATGTTGATTGGGTTGGGTTTGCTGGCCTCACTTTATTTACTAGCTAGACGAGAAATAGAATACTCCCAGATAATATTGTGAACATTGAATAATATTCGAATTTATTTCTTAAAAAACTAGAAATAAAGGTACCTATATAATGTCATTCGCCAATTCATATTAGTATAATTTGAAAAAAAATATATTAATAAAGTTTTGCCGTTTGGGTGTCATACGCACCAAGGAAAGGGCTTTCAAAAAGATTAGAGAAATCTTCTTTCTCTAAATATTCATGGATCTTGCTTGAAATAAGGCAAAGAATTTCTTTTTTTAGGCCTGAAATATGTGTACCAAATTTCCCACTGACATTTTAAATAATTGCAAAGATATCGCCGGAAAAGACCAGACGCAATCATCAACAAAAAAGTTTGTCATGAATGGGTATGATATTCTTGAAGTCCAAAGTTATTCCCTACGTGAGTTTTGATTGATTGCAATACTATTGAAAGTAAAAATGCCTAATTTTTTACAACAAAGGAATTATAAACTTTGTGAGGCTTTCGCGGTCCAGGTTTATTGATAAGGGTTTTCATTCAGGCTTAATGGCCGTCGTAAGTTGGAATTTCTTCCTGACGTTTCGCTAGCACGCGTGGCTAGCATCTTCAGAGGTGCTTCCCTATCCGATTCTGGTAGCAGACTGACGCCCTGACGCGTTCCCGACCGTAAATTGTATTTATGTGTAAGTGGCTGTGGTGGGGGAGGGGCGGCGCTTCGCGGCACGTGGCTAATCTCATCTTTCTCTGTATTCAATGGGATCTTTCTTGCGTTTTTGAGGATCGGGTTCCAGATTTGGTTGAGTTTTAGTATTTCTTGTTTCCTGTTGAAGTTCTCCCTATGTTTGTGGATTTCTATAGCTTCACGTACAAGACGATTGTGGTATCCGGAAGACGATGCAAGAAGCTTGACTTTACCAGAGAGTATTTCATGATTCCCTTCAATAAGCGCATGTTCCGCAACTGCCGATTGCTCCGATTGTCCTAGTCTGCAGTTTCTTTTGTGCTCGTTCATCCTGGTTCCCATGGATCTTTTTGACGTTCCTATGTATACCTTACCACATGTGCACGGTATACGATAGACTCCAGCGCTTGACAATGGGTTCCTCTTATGCATGGCTGATTTGATTGATTGCGGTATTTTTCTTGTTGGCTTGAAGATTGTTTTTATGTTGTGTTTCTTCAAGACTTTCCCTTTCCTGTCTATCACCCGAGAAATGAAAGGCATATATGCATTAGCCACCACTGGTTGTTCATCCACGTTTTGCCTTGTGGCAGTTTTGGGTCGCATGGCCCTGTCAATTTCAGATGCATTTTAACCATTTGATAGAAAGGCCGACTTGAGGTGATCCAGTTCTTGCTCGAGATGTTAGGGCTCGCAGATGTTCCGAGCACGTCCTGTTGACGTTGTTATAATTCCACGTTTTTGCCTTGGATGGTGGTTTGAGAGTGCATGCAGGTACCTGTCCGTGTGTGTAGGTTTTAGGTACACCGTGTGGCTTACTTTTCCTCCAGATTTCTTTATGAGCACATCTAAGAAGGCGATTTTTTGGTTTTTCTCCTTTTCCATGGTAAATTCTATGCTAGGATGTTGCGCGTTCAGGTGGCCTAGGAACTGATTAAGCTTCTCTTCCCCATGACTCCAAACCACAAAAGTATCATCTACGTATCGAAGCCATACCGTTGGTTTGTGGTCAAAAGATTCGATAGCTTTCCTCTCGAAATCCTCCATAAAGAAGTTGGCTATGACCGGGCTGAGCGGACCCTACCCAAGCCATACTCCGGAACACCAAAAAACTGACTAGGTCATCTACCCTAACAGACACGGTTAGGAAAGGCATCATAAAAACAGAAGCAGTGCCACCACGACTCTACGGTCTACCCAAAATTCACAAACCGGAAGTCCCGCTAAGACCTATAGTGAGTGCACCTGGAGCACCAACGTACATCCTAGCGAAACATCTTGCATCGCTTCTTCAACCGCATGTAGGAAAAACTTGCTCTTAAGTCAAGGACTCCACTCACTTTGTCCGAAAAAGTAGGGATATTATTCTTCAACCCAAGGATATCCTGGTCAGCTTTGATGTCGTGTCCCTTTTCACAAAAGTGCCATTGACAGAATCTCTTGACTTGATATCTAGTACCTTTCCCAATGACATAGTTGAGCTTTTCCGGACATGTCTCACTGATAGTTACTTCCTGTGGAACGGCGATTTCTACGAGCAAACGGACGGTGTAGCTATGGGAAGTCCGCTCAGCCCGGTCATCGCCAACTTCTTTATGGAGGATTTCAAGAGGAAAGCTATCGAATATTTTGACCATATATTGGCTTCGATACGTAGATGATACTTCTGTGGTTTGGAGTCATGGGGAAGGGAAGCTCAATCAGTTCCTAGGCCACCTGAAGGCGCAACATCCTAGCATAGAATTTACCATGGAAAAGGAGAAAAACCAAGAAATCGCCTTCTTAGATGTGCTCATAAAGAAATTTGGAGGAAAACTAAGCCACACGGTGTACCTAAAACCTACACACACGGACAGGTACCTGCATGCACTCTCAAACCACCATCCAAGGCAAAAACGTGGAATTATAACAACGTTAACAGAACGTTCTTGGAAAATCTGCGAGCCACAACATCCCCTCTATCAAATGGTTACAATGCATCTGAAATCGACAGGGCCATGCGACCCAAAACGGCCACACAGCAAAACGTGGATGAGCAACCAGCGGTGGCTAATGCATATCTGCCTTTCATTTCTCGGGTGACAGACAGGATAGGGAAAGTCTTGAAGAAACACAACATAAAAACAATATTCAAGCCAACAAGGAAAATACAGCATTACAGCAATCAATCACATCAGCCAAGGATAAGAGGAATCCACTGTCAAGCGCTGGAGTCTATCGTATACCATGCACATGTGGTAAGGTAACATAGGAACGACAAAAAGATCCATGGGAACCAGGATGAACGAGCACAAAAGAAACTGCAGACTAGAACAATCGGAGCAATCGGCAGTTGCGGAACATGCGCTTATTGAAGGGAATCATGAAATACTCTCTGGTAAAGTCAAGCTTCTTGCATCGACTTCCGGATACCACAATCGTCTTGTACGTGAAGCTATAGAAATCCACAAACATAGGGAGAACTTCAACAAGAAGGAAGAAACACTAAAACCTGACCAAATCTGGAACCCGATCCTCAAAAACGCAAAAGAGATCCCATTGAATACAGAGAAAGATGAGATTAGCCACGTGCCGCGAAGCCCCGCCCCTCCCCCACTACAGCCACTTACACATAAATACAACTTACGGTCGGGAACGCGTCAGTCAGTCGGATATGGAAGCACCTCTGAAGATGCTAGCCACGCGTGCTAGCGAAACGTCAGGAAGAAATTCCAACTTACGACGGCCATTAAGCCCGAATGAAAACACCTTATCAACAAAGGAATTGTCGTCAGTTGTTGTGAATAATATATTCAAAAAGAGAAACTAAAATATTACAACACAAATAGAAATATTAGGAGAACTATGCTGTATTCCCCGTTATCTAAAGCTTATGTTTGAATTGATGCCATCTGAGAAACCATCATGGATATTAAAAGTATCTGCATGTGAGGTATTGCAGATAACAGGATCAAAAAGATAAAGTCAACTTAAAGTTTTAATTTACCTACCAATATTTTGATCAGTGGATTCATGTAATATGGATAGCATTGAAACAGCATTATCCTGAAAATTATCATTAGGTGAAGGTTCTTTCGGAACAAAGCCACCTATAAAATATTCTGATGAGAACTACAAAGTATCAATAAATCATATTTTCCTACCTTCAGTTTCCTCAGGAGGTTTGAACTCGGAACCATATTCTGTTGGTCCATTGTCAGCTTTCTCTTTCACAGAAGATGCTGGGTCCTTTAAAAATACTTTTTTAACATCCAATGCGTCTGCAGCAACAAATGGAATTATCCTGAAAATGGTTTCCATAATAAATCTGAAATATTTAGTATAATCAATAATTAATATAAATTTACTTTAAGTTCGGTAGAGAGGGAGGCAAAGTCGGTTCATTATAATCATAATCAAAATCTTCTACATTTTTATTATCGTTAATATTCGGAATGACATCAATATTCGATATCAATTTCGTGCTATTAGTTTTGAAGTGGTGTTTGGATTTATTGACTTGAGACGTTACTTCTTTGTAGAATAATTCCTCGGAAGCTAAGTTTTTAGTTTTAACATTGGTATTATTGATGTTTTCACTTCTGGTTTCAGCTGGTTTATTTATTTCGGGAGGATCCATAGTTGTTGCTGTGGATTTCTCGTCCTGGTAACCTGAAAATATTTAAAATATTGAAAAGCTAAATGGATCAGGAAATGTTTTAGGCATTTTAGTCGAGCTGTTTTTCAATCTCAAAAAGGGAAAGAGACGTGCCGCATATTTGAAAAAGTTTTTTCATTTTTTTGGCCCTTTCAATCCTGTTGGTCTCCTATGCAAAAACGAATCATGGTTTTTCATTTGATTCGAATCACTTATTTGGCTGTATTTAAACTCAATCCGTTTCATATTAAGTTTTTCATATCATAAAATATATGGGGCTGCTGTCAAGCGGATCGATATTCCACGACACAAACGTCGTCAACGACTCGACGATGACGTTTATATCAAAATAATTACAATAAGCGTTTCCAGGCCATAATTTATAGATAAAAAATTAAGACTCAATTAAAAGCTATTGTATCAGTGAATTTAAAAAATATAGGAAATCCTTCTCTTAAATAAATCATTCCCTAAAAAACAGCCCTTAGGTTTTTGATCAGCTAGCGCCTCTATTATTTTTTTTTTCTATTTTTGAAAATTACAATATGTAATGCATTGGTGCCAAAAGTAGTTTCTTTTCAAATTTTTCATGGGAAAAAAATGTTCACTCACCTTTTCGTAGTTTATCCTCGATCCCATTAACGCAGTCAGTTGAGTTTAAAATAGTTGTAAGAGTAACTGGTCCTTCAATTTCTAATACATCCAATGTGGTTTCTTCTGCTTCACTTGAAAACGTACTAGTGTATAAGAAACTTTCTGTCGTATACTCATTATTTGTCGTTGTATCCAAAATCGTACTAGTTTCATCACTGGATGTTGGTAGCTCATTATTTTCAGCAGAATTGGATGTTTTGTCATTATTGTCTTTATTTGTATTTGCTGCTGCAACGCCACTAGCTGCTCTTTGCACTTTACTATTCAATAACGAGTCTAATGTGCTCAAAATATTGAGATTGCTAAGCCCTATGTTATCAACGGTTTCTTTTTTGGTTTTTGAGGGTTGCATGTTGCTTGATCTAAACATATCATAATACAATTTTGATCTTATAGTGGTACTAAAAACTTTCTTAAAATTGTCATTTTGGAACTCATTATTTGTTGTTGCATGGGTGCTTTTCTGTTCATTTTTGTTCTCTTGAGTAGTACTTTGTCGCTTAGAATTACTAATCAAAATATAATTGCCATCATAATTCAATGGATTTTGAGTACTGCTAGGAGTTATTCTGGTGCCAGAAAATTGTCTTGTAGTACCATAGGTATCGGGGCTGCGCTGATAAACCAGTTTTGTTGTGGGCTCTTGCAAAGTTTCAGCAAACACGTAAAATGGTACTACTGTCACCACTCCTTCATTTTCTTTATAAAAATTTTTGGTTGGAGGTTTTTCGTATATTTCCTTTCTAAACTTGGAATATTCTTTACTTATTGTGGGAAAAAGACCGTAATTTGGTTTCGGCTTAATTTCAAGAGTACCATCTAAAACCAAATTGCTTAAAATATATTTATTCGTGCATATTTGAAAATATATAAAAATAAGCTTAAAAGTAAACTTACTTACTACAATTGTAACTAGCGGCACAACATTCGCCCATTTTGATCACAGGAGTGCAACCTAGAAGATGTGGAGCACATAAAAGAGATTCACATCTTAGCATTCTCCTTAGACAAAAACAGTTGTCGCATACTGAATGACCCGCATCTATTACCTTTGAGCCTTCAGGATAGTAAATATTGTCAATAAGGCAGCCACCTAAAAAGTAAACTTCTGATATTACACTACAAATACGCTTTCTAATTTATTTAAGCTACATGTTAGTATTGTGATGGTATGAGAAAAACGGCTCTTATTCCAAATATATACCATAGCCGAATACGGAATGAATCTGAAATCTTCTTGGTGGGTGATCCAATATGAAGTGTCGTGAAGACCAATCCTTTATAAATTTGTGTGTTTTACTGGTGCGAGTGCGTCCTTTTTAAAAAAAAAGAAAAACACTTTTTCCATCGATGTAAGGGTTTACGCACACTTACATGATTTCAGGAGTAGGTATGAAACAGCTTTTTCGGACTTTTGCTAAAGTAGTTTTATCAAGAGTCAACGTTTCGACACAAGTCTAAATCATCTTTAGGGCTAAAAAATCAGAAGACTCTTCAATTGGTTGTGAAATAACTTTTTATTCAAATCGAAAACATATACATATACGTAATTATACATTTAAAATACGTATTTAAAACATTTTATCTTAAGGGGTCCATAATTTGTACTTTATTGTCGTCAACACTCGACATAGAAGTGATTCAATATTTTCCTAGGACCATAAAAATCTTTATGTATGGGGTAATTTGTTCGATCTTTTCCCACTAGATGCAGCAGCGTCAATCAGGGCTATTATGTTCTTGTAATTAAGTTTTCGTTTTCTTCCCGCTAGATGGCAGCGTCAACGACCAAGTTCGGGAATTACTCCAACAGCATAATTTATTCATAATTTGCGGTAATTTGTTCGTCTTGAATTTTTTCTTCAATGTTATGAACTAAATTATTGCATAAATAAAGTACGAGCAGTAAAAGCAGACAATTTTCGCCGGCCCACTCCCCCCTAAAGAACAAAATTAAGAGCGTTAGAATGGGATACAATGTTCAGGCTTTAAGACTTGGCGTATGAGTCGTGGTAAAGACGAATGAAAGACCACACAAAAAAGAGACGCGCGTCTGTAGTGAGGTCACAAGGTTATCGGCGCTTGACAATAATAGGCAACCCTTTTTGCTTATAATCCTTGGTTTGTGTCAATCGTTTGTCGGCTGCCATTGTCAATGGCTGTCTTTCTCCGTCTCTCTACGTTACATCTATCTTCTCTTTCGTTGCCAAACCGTGGCGCGTCTTTCATATCACTCTCCATTCTCGTCCAAATATCAGACCTCAATGTTTCCAAATCCAAAGACCAAGGTGGTCACAATCGCTGCCATGGTCCAGCAGCTTTTAGAAGCAAGAAGTGGTAGAGGTGATTCTTCACTAATTAATTTTTACTTTCTGCTAGGTTTAAATAGATTTCAGAATATTGTCATTATGGTCTACGATTTTCTTGGTTTATATTTGTAGGTACTTGATTTTCGTGTTCAATTTCTACGTCCTTTCTAGGTTTAAATAGATTTTAGAATATTTGCATTATGGTTCTCGATTTTGTTGGTTTATTTAAATGTATTTGGTTTTTGTATTTAGAACAATAAAATAAGTGGGATGAGTGTAAAGGTATGATCACATGGTTCTTAGCGTTGGGGACCAACGCTTTCATAGGAGGGGCATATGTCAACTGGTCTATAAATAAAACCACTCTGTATATCAAAAACCCATTAAAACTAGAACACGGTTTATCAACAATCAGTAGTTTGACCAGGTCAACGCGTAAACTAATGTTTACACAAAATGGATATAAAACCGATGCAACCCATGGTATTGGTACCCATTTGGATCCTTCTCTCCTCAAAGTCTCCTTACCCAAAGGAGCAGTAGAAACACTTCTCTTCAGGGTCCCCTTACCCCAGAGAGTCTTGGAGCAATCCTCTTCAGGGTCGCCTTATCACAGAGAGTCTTGCCCTTCAGAGCATCGCCGCCTATACGTGCGGGAACCAGTTGCATCCCCGTATAGATACATATAGCCCCAAACGCAAGAGTCATGTGGCATACCTGCGTAGTATCGCTTTGGTAATGTACTCACTAAGAAGCAATATACGATAAGGGCCTTTTGTAGTTGTGTGTTTTCCTGAAGAACAACCCCCCAACCTCAGGTCCTACCCACATTACCTGCGAGGCGTGTGATACTATCTATTCTTGCTGGTCCATCCTTCCGTGCTCAATATTTATGTCATGAAAGTAAATTCGCATTATTTCAAAAAAAGCGAGCAAAACTCTGTTTCTGTTTAGGGGAGAAAGAGGACACACGCACGAAAATTTGTGACATCCTGTATAATGATTGCGACAGTCTGTATAGTTATTAATATATCGCCATGCACATGCGTGGTTAATGTGCGGCGACTGGGCATCGGAGGACCAATACGAGGCGAGGGCATTCAAGATTACAACCAGCAATGAGCTACATGACTGTACCGTCCCTGCTCCTTTATCGTTAAATAAATAATTTTTAAGTAATCATCGATTAATTACATGGTGACGAGGATATATGGTTAAAAGGAGAAAAGAAGAAACGTGGGGAAATCAGAACAAGAAATAAGAAGATGGCTTCCGGTATGAATTCCACAATGGTTCCTGTGCCAAAATTCTACGAGTTCAGAGCAAACACAGATGATTGGGAGATTTATGCAGAGAGAATGGAGCAACACTGCACAGCCAATCAGATAAGTGATGAAAAAGTTAAAACCGCTATTTTATTAAGTAGTATGGGCCCTGATACTTACGAAGTTCTTAGAAATCTAACTTTTCCTGAATTACCTAGAACAAAAACATTTCTTGAACTATGTGAACTTTTAAAAAAACAATTTAATATAAAATCCAGTGTTTGGAGAGAGAGAAGGTCGTTTTATGCTCTTTCTCAGGGTGATTTAAGTGTGGCCGATTGGTATGCATGAATTAAAAAATTTTCAGTGAACTGTAAATTTGGAAATAGTTTGTCTAGGGTTCTTTTGGACAAATTTGTGACGGGACTCTCGAATTCTAAGATTTTAGATCGCCTGTGTGAAGAAACTGAAGAAAAATCGATGGAAGAAATGGTGTCCTTGGCTAGTGTTTCACAAGATTCTTGCAAATTTCTTGTTCTTGTCTTGTTCTTGCTGCAAGAACAAGACAAGACTCTCTTAAATTTCTTGTCTTGCAAAGCAAGACAAGACAAGAAGTTGCCAAGCAAGACAAGAAATTATTCTGCAAGACTCTTGCAATCTTGCAAGAAATCTTGCAAAAAAATGAAGTCTCCTTCTCTGCATATTTTTGAATTAATTTTGGCAATGTTGCGGCAGTTAACAACGAGATAAAAATGTCAGCATATCAGTTTGTAAAGTTGAAGGCATTTTTTTGCGACAAAACTTTCTGAAATTGTGTTTCAAAACACTCAAACAGATAACAGTTTCTAACAGTTCTTGCAGCAAGTATGGCTAGGAAAATGTTTGGTCATGATTGACAACGACACTGCACACACAATATTGAATTTTAGGCTCAATGTTAAGTCCTTTTCATTTTCAACCATCAAACAATTAAGTCGATTTTTTTTTAAGGTCTATCATCATTGTAGTGCATAAAATAGTGCTTTAGAGCTGAAACTGTTTTAATACGGTTTTTGAAACTGTTTCCTCGAAAAAAAAAGTCTTTAAACCAGGAAAGATGACAACCACGTTATCAATGACAATGACACTAATCCAGAGATCACCGATCATAATCTTAAGGGCTCCACAGACAATGGCTACGTACACCAGAACCAAAACGGATTGTAAACCGTAAAACCAAATACCAACAGAATATGTTGGGTAAAATCTTGGTTCTGCTGAACGATTCAACTTTTCAATGATAGAACGTCACCTTCTGAATGACAGGTCACCACAAAAAACACAGTGTTGAAAATTATAAACACTCTGAAATTATGCTTGCAAAAATGGCGACCGTTTGCAAAACATGTTTGGTTTTAACACAAATTCAACGTAGCGTTCAGCAGAACAATCGGAAACCGTTTACCAATAGACCTTCAGATAGTGACATATTTAGGTGCCCCATTTTCGCATTCAAGCCTCGAAGAGGGTTGAAAAGTACATCGATTTTGAGTAGGATGAAGGTATTTTTACGAATGGATCCTGGGGATAACGTAAGGAAAATTCGATTTTCCGTAACAGAAATGAAAGACGTCCTAGTGCCTATATTTTCTCGCAAGCCGCGTTCACCAAAGGATTAATTAATAATACCTGGCTTCATGAAAACAAATAAGGGGGTGTTGCAGGTGGCTAAAGGTTTGAAATAAGGGCGTAACTTTGTAAGGAAAAATCGAGATTTTGGGCGATTTTTCAACACAAGCCCATCGGAAAGATGAAAATCTACAACTGCGGTAGCAGGAAAACATATTTTCTTGAGTGTGGCTAATGGAAAAGTACATTTAAGGGTAACATAAATAAAATTGAATTTTCCATATGTTATCCCCAGGAGCCATTCGTAAAAATACCTTCATCCTACTCAAAATCGATGTACTATTCAACCCCCTTCGAGGCTTGTATGCAAAAATGGGGTACCTAAATATGTCACTATCTGATGGTCTACAACGTTTGTATCTGGTGAACGCGGCCTATGATGATACACAACGGCTTTCATCGCCACGATGAAACACGTCGTTCCATAAGCGAGGTGTGTGGTAGAAAACCGTAGTGTTTTTCTACTACACACGCCCCCGACAGGCTTTTGAACGTAATGAATGATGCAAGAGTCTCGCAGCAAGAATCTTGCAACAAGACTCTTGCAAGCAAGACTCTTGCTATGACGTCACAAAACAAATAATGCAAGAACAAGAAATTGCAAGAAATCTTGTTTGCAAGACAATACTTTTTTCTGCAAGAGTCAGGCAAGACAAGAATGAATTTCATTTCTTGTCTTACTTTGCAAGACAAGACAAGAATAGGCCCAATAAGGCAAGAAATCTTGTCTTGTGAAACACTATCCTTGGCTCAGAAAATTGAAACCAGTGGTCAGCACGTGGTGAGATACGCTTCAAAATTCCCGCCAAATTCCAACCGGAATTTCCGCCATTATGACGATGACCAACGTT